CACAATCACCTTGGTTCCCTGCATGTGCAGCTTTTAAATTATTCAAAAGGCTGCCAACTTTTCTTGCACTGAAAACTCACTCACCCGCTCACTCACTGCCATTGAGTAGATTCTGACTCATAGCAACTCTACAGAGCACAGAACTACTTCCTAGGGTTACCGAGACAGTCAGTCTTCACGGGAGCAGAAAGCCGCATCTTCTTCCCGTGGAGGCGAGTCTGGACAGCTGACTGCAGTGAGCAGCCCCCTGGAACCCACGGTGCCAGCAGGGCACCCTTCTTGCACAGAAAAGAACTGTAAGCCCCTGTTCTGACTTAACTACAATACTCAACAAGCCAATCCATCAAGTTTATTCAGCCCGCTAGACTCTACATGGAAATCTTAGAGACACGGGGAATTATTCTATTCATACATCAGGAACTACTTATATAACAGCTCCTTCAGCCAGCAGGAAAGGAACCACCCCCACCCCCACCCATCCCCCACCACAGGGCAGGATAACAGCAGTTGTATGTGCTGTAGAAGTCTGTAACTAAGGCTTCCTGGTTCAAGCCCCTGAAATAAAACTTTCAAACCGAGCGAAGGGCCCAATCTGGACGGTGAATGACAAAGAGAAAAAGAAAAAGTTGAGTCAGAAGAGTAAAGCCAAACACATGGCCATCCAGTCAATTCTAACTCACAGTGACCCCACAGGACAAAGTGAAAGGGCCCCAGAGGGATTCCTAGACTGTGGTCTGTTGGGGAACCTTCTGCCTCATCTGTCCCCAGTGAAGTGGCTGGTGGGTTTGAACTGCCAGCCTTCTGGTTAGCAGTCAAGCATTTAAACCACTGCACCATCAAGACTCCGTAACAGAAGACTCCGTAACAGAGTGTGTGCAAATATTTGGGAGTCCGACTTTATCTGTTTGGAATGTGCAGGTGTCTAGATTTTGCTTTTCCAAAAGAAAAGGAAAAGGGAAGCCATGCTTGACAATGAGCTGGGTTCAGTGGAACAAAACTGACTGAGGGGCCCCCACGTGGGGGAGGAGAGAAGGAGGCAAAGGGGGATTTTCCCTCCGCATCCTCCCCAAGCCAGCCAATTAGCGTATGGTAGACACGTGACCCCCTTACGCACGCTGACAAGCCAGCCAATTAGCGTATGGTAGACGCGTGACCCCCTTACACACGCTGACAAGCCAGTCAATCAGCGTATGGTAGACACGTGACCCCTTACGCACGCTGACAAGCCAGCCAATTAGCGTATGGTAGACACGTGACCCCCTACGCACGCTGACAAGCCAGTCAGTCAGCGTATGGTAGACACGTGACCCCTTACGCACGCTGACAAGACGCACTCGCTGTTTCGCTTTGCCCTTGTTAGTTACGTGCACCACATCAATTGTGGCATGCAATGTGCTGCTGCTATCACGCGCAGACGTTCACTAGCAGATGTTCCAAGTTTGATTTATAAAGATGATGCTAATAAAAGGCAATAATAATGAAAACTAAAAAGAAAGATGTTCCCACTTAACATCAGTGCCAACCTACAAGGGAGGGACCAGCACACAATGCCACTGGGTGTTGGGGATGACCTATGGTCTCTTTTATATGCGGGCTCCAGAGAGTTTTGTTTGGGGAAAAAACTACAACCACAAGTTCAAAACCCTCTGAACTAGAAGATCTCTAAAGCCCCTTCCAGCTCTTACTACTCCATGGTTTGATGAGCCTTTAAACCAGTGTTCCCCGGAGTGGGCAATTCCACCCCTGGTGGGCATTACCCCTGGTGGGCACTAGACTGACCCAGAGGGGCTGCAGAAGCAGAGGCCTACACTAGATCCTGGACTGGGGGCTGCGGTCTAAGTTTCTGATTGCCAGGGGCAAACAGAGTAATTTTCTTTCTTTCTTTTTCGTGAAAGGGGAAGGGTAGGCCAAGTAAGTTTGGGAATGTAGGCTTGTAACAAACAATCAGCACTGCCTTATCCTTCAGATCGCCCAGCATGAGATTGTCTCACCATGTTGTTCTTGTTCTTAGGATGTCTGCCGTTTGGGGGGCGATGTGCATTTCTGGAGAAACGCCACCTGACAGAAATCCTGGCTGATGTGCTGTCAATAGGCCGCGAGAGAAAAGCAGCCAAAGGAAAAGATCCACATAGGAAAGCACTCAGTCTGAAAAATGTGGGTCTGTCAGCAATGGGACCGAGGGTTCAGGGGCTATAACGCACTACCACTACAGAAGAGTGCTCTCAAACTAGCGGTCCTAAACCTAGCAACCACCAGCAGTTCACCTGAAAGGGAAAACGTTCAGCTTCTGACATCTCATGCTAAGTGAACTACGT